TGCACAACCATAAGAATGGGAAGTTATATGACATGTATGTATGATATGTCAAAATACACTCTGCTGTCATGTGTATTTAAAAAGAACTAATAAAAAAAAATTGTAGATGCATTTTGTTCATGTAAAAAAACAAAACAAACAGCAATAAGGAAGTGAGAACAGTGTTAATAGAATTAGTTGTGAGTCCACAGATGGATGTATGACTTCTCTCTTGGCCTTCACTCATTAGAGTAACTGGATCTTAGGAATTACTGTGGCAACTATGGTAAAATATGAACAATTTCTTGATAGGGGACATAGATATTCATTATGCTGGTTTCCCCTTTTCTATGTAAGTTTGACCATTTCATAATAAAAGATTAGGAAAAAAAGGGGGGGGTCCATCCAAATGATCATTTTAAAAGCTAACATCTCAAATTGCATTTTTGGGTGATGTTCTCTAGGCATTTAATCCTGAACTATCCAAAATAGGGGCCAGTAGGCACATATGACAATTTATTAAATACAAACTAAGGCTAAATTAAATTAAAAATTCAGCCCCTAAGTTGTAAGGGACACATAAGCACATTTGAATTAGCAGTTATTGGTTATAGACTTTTAAAAATATTTTTAAATTTGGGTAAAATATGTGTAATATAAAATTTACATTTTTAACGAGTGTTAAGTTACCATCTAGCAGCATTACATGTACTCATCTTGTTATGCAACTGCTACCATTGGCTATCTCCAGAACTTAAAAAATTTAATATGATTTAATTTTAACCATTTTTTTTGTTGTGGTAAAAATATATACGAGCATATTAAGAACATGTTGAAATTAGTGTAACTATCTGTTCCCATAATTCCCTGAAAATATTGACTCACAACTTGGTTACCATTATGTTGATTACAAATAAGGTAAACATAGGCTGGAGTTGTAGCTTGGTGTGGAGTGCTTGCTTGGCATGTGTGAGGCGCTGGGTTCAATCCTCAGCACCACATATAAATAAAATAAATAAAGTAAAAAAATCCATTGACAAAAAAAAATACCCATTGACAACTAAAAAATATTTTAGAAAAAAAAATAAGATCAACAGCAAAAATCTCAGGCCTGAGAAATTTAAAAGTATGGATTTTAAAACTTGACGTATTAACTATCCTGGGGAAATAGGAGGCACTCCATTCTTTCACTGCAGCAATAAAACAAATCTCACCTCACTTCTAGAACCCCAAGGCTCTGTTAAGGTAATTTGAGACATAGGGCTGTACAGAGCACAGGAATTGATTCAGTCAGCAAACATTTGCAGAGGCCCTATCAACAGTCATACACTGTGTTGGCAACAGGAATATAATGGTGGGCATGAGAGACAAGACTTCCGTTTCATGAAGCTTCTGTTTAGATAGGAGGTATCCTCCAAAAGCTCATGTGTGAGATAATGCAAGAAAGTTTAGAGGTGAGATGATTGGGTTATGAGAGTCTTAACTTAATCTGTGCATTAATCCACTGATATGAATTAACTGGGCAGTAACTGTAGGCAGGCAGGATGTGGGTGGGAGGAGATAGGTCATTGGGGTGTGCCTTTAGGGTTTTTACTTTTTCCCCTGGTGAGCAGGGCTCTCTCTGCTTCCTGGTGGCCACATCCAGAGCTGCTCTACTCTGCCACACCCTTCTGCCATTATGTTCTGCCTCACCTTGGGCCAAGAGCAATGCAGTCTGTGGACTGAGACCTCTGAGACTGTGAGCCAAAATAAGTTTTTCCTCCTCTGTTATTGTCAGGTCTTTGGTCACAGTGATGAGAAACCTGACTAAAATAGCTCCCCCCCACCACCCCCGCTAGAGTGGGGAGGCAGACAGTAGATCAATTGACCAACATATAAACCCAGAGCTATCAGAGAGTGACAACTGCCATGAAGAATACAAAACAGGCTGACCTCAAGGAGATCACCATGAACTCCTGTCTTATGTGCAAGAGATCCCCAGTGACTCTGAGTTATATGTCATTTTAAGAAGCAAATTCCAAAGTAGATTTCAATCACCTAAAAACAATGAAAAGTGAAATTCCCCAGATAAAGTTTGAGTTCTAGTCTTTTGTGCTGTGCCTGCCTCTGGACTGTCACTTATTAACTGATTCTGAATTAACTCACTTAATAAGCGTGGGCTGTGTCCATTTGATAATTATTTAGATAACTCACACCTTATCCAAATGTGTAAGACACCTGTAGCTTTTGCAAAAGAAATTTTTCCAGAAGGGCTGCAGATGTAGCTCATGATACAACACTTACCTAACATGCATGAGCCCTTGAGTTCCATCTCTGGCCCCGCACCCCCCCCCCCAAAAAAAAGTTATCCAGGTTGGTGCAGTGCTACCAAGCTATCCTTAGGTTTTAAATAAAGGGGAACAAAGGAAAGAAGAGCTGTGAATATCTCAGACAGATTTGCACGATTGTAATTGTCTCCTCAAACCCAGTCAAGATGAAAAGCAATGCGGGCTAGGGTCTCTCCTGACTTTTCACCCCTGCATGGACTGTGGAGGTTTCTTGAGTTTTATCTATATCTCAGGGGCAAAAGCTGCCTCACAGAGAGGTGAGTTATGTGAACACAGGAGGAAGGCCGTATGAGCTGGCGTGACTGCCCTCTTCGCCACAGGAAGGAAAGCAGATTCCCTGTGTCCTATAAGTTCACCAGCTGATAAACTCTCTAAGCCTAAATCTATTAGTGCTCAGGACAGAAATACATGGATGACAAGAAATACTTCAGTTCCACTGGGTAAGAGTTCCAAATGGGGGAGTGAGTAGTGATAGAACTATTTGTCCTTAATGGGAAATAAACCAATTTGGGGTGCTTCAGAGGGGACTGCAAACTTTCCTCCAGGTTCTTGTTTTGACTGTAAAACCGTAATCATTTTCAAGCCTTCTGGATTATCCTGCCTCTTGAATACACACTTCTGTCAATGTTTCTTCTTTAAGATTTATTTACAGCCTTGAAAACAGCCTGGGGCAAATAGCAATTTATACAAGGAGAACCACAGAATGTGGTTTTCAATTACCATTTGGGTGACCCCTAAGCTGGGGTGATGAGATTATGAGTGGATTTTAAATAGTAATGGTAGTGAGGTGATTGGTCAATGTTTATTTGTAAGTGTTCTTAATCAGTTGGCATGGTATTTCATTGTTATGTGTCTCTCAGATTTCAGAGACATAAATTCCCAAACTCGATTTTCTTAGTTTTAGAGAACTGATCACAAGCATCATTCTCTGAAATTCGTAGGAATTTTTCAGCATGCAAAATAATAACACTAATAACAAAACTAACATTGTATTTACTGCGTGCCTAGTGCAGTGTTAAGATTTTAACACATAGCATCCTGTATAACTGTCAAAACCACCACGGTGTCAGTAATGAAGAAATGAAGGCTCCAAGCAGTATAGCAGTGAGCCCAAGTATAAGCCTGTGACTCCCTGTGGTTCCCCGTGACATTGGCAATGAGGGCAGGGCTTGGGAGTTTTCGATTTACTATCATCTCCATCAGACCGGCTTCTTCCAAGTCACCCAAAGTAAATGTTTCATCTAGGGAAGCCCAGTGCTGTTGCTAAGTAAATGCAGATTGCAACCCAAAAGTCCATTCTGGGTAAAAATGTCAGGACTGTTATCCTATGCCCCTGTGACCATGATCATCAAATTCTCCTTGCAGAAAGCCCATCATGTTTGGGACACTAGAGTAGGAAATGTATGGGATGAAAGGGAAGAGTAGCATGAAAAGAACCCAAGGCAATATTACAGCATAGAACATGGCACAGGCCCAGGTCTGATGGCCAGGCCAACCTGCTTTCTAGTCTTGAGTCTTCCAAATTATTTCCTTGGCTGTAGACAAGTTACCTTGTTTCTCTGGACCTGATAATTGGCGGAAAATTAGGGGCTCGGTTCAGTAACCTTATAAATCCCTTGTAGCTATAAAATAAAATGATTCCGTATGTCCTGACTTCCAAGAATTTACAATCCAATAGGTTGATGAGATAAACTCAATATTTAGACACGGTCCCAAACTTTCCAGTCTAGTGTATTTTTTCCCCGGTAGATCCTGAACCCAAGACCTGTAGACATATTCTTTGATTCTCCTCCAAGGCTTGGTACATGTTTGGGGCTCATGAATGGTTGCTAAGTAAGTGAATGAAAAACATAATGAGTAAAAAAAAAAAAACACCAAAAAAATATGTTTAATTTTTCAAAGCAGCAATGCATATAAAAATGGCACCCAACTTCAGGTCTTTTGTACTATTCAAATCTAGGAGGAGATTCAGCTTTCTGTGTTGCTTAAAATTCATAGAATTTGGGGAGGTGGCTCAAGCGGTAGCGCGCTCACCTGGCACGCGTGCGGCCCGGGTTCGATCCTCAGCACCACATACCAACAAAGATGTTGTGTCCACCCAGAACTAAAAAATAAATATTAAAAATTCTCTCTCTCTCTCTCTCTCTCTCTCTCTCTCTCTCTCTCTCTCCTCTCTCACTCTCTCTTTAAAAAAAAGAAATTCATAGAATTTAATTTAAGCTCTACCCCCTTTAAAAAAAAAAGATTAAAAAATTGCAAATACACAATTTTGTACAGTGCCTTTGAAGGGGCCTCTGCAAGTGAGGAGTGCCCAAGTACACACTTTATTACTATAGTTGCTGACAACTTGCTTCTACTCTGCTCCAGGCCTGCCTGCCTTCTTGCTTCCTCAAAATCCTACTCCTAGTCTAGCCGCTTAGCAAGGTGTCACCTCCACCTTCACTCCTAGTCATCCTCTACCACGGATGCTTGATTTTTAAAAAAGTGTGGTAAGATACAAATTACACAAGTTTGAGGCCAGCCTCAGCAACTTAGGGAGACCCTGTCTTAAAATAAAAAATAAAAAGCACTGGAGATCTAGGTCAGTGGTAAAGCACCACTGTGCTGAATCCCCTGTCCCCTCCAACAAAATTCACAATGTTGTGCTCATTTCAGCAGCACACAGACTAAAATTGGAATTATACAGAGAAGATCAACATGATCTTCTCTGTATAATGATGATATGAAAATTCATGAAGTGACCCACTACCATGACAGAAGCAGTGAGATTCATAGTTACTACAGCATTTGGGGGGAGGGAAGCTCCCCAAACAGCCTATTATCACAAAGAACAAATTCTTTAGCAGAAGAACTGGGGAGAGAATCAAGGGTGTTGAGGTGGCCTGTGTCCTGGTGGTTTGAAACCACACAGAGGGAAGTCCATTAAATGCTCACAAATGCTTAAAAAAGAAATCCGTAACATCGTACAACTATCACTGCTATCTATATCCAAAACTTTTATCATTACAGTAGAAACTGTACCCATTAAATAACTCCTCCTTTTTCTCTCTCCCTTCTGTCTCTAGTAATCTGTACTTTATGTCTGCATAAATCTGCCTTATTCTAGAGTGCCTAAATAAATGGAACCTTCTCTTATGTGTCCTTCTGTATCTGGCTTATTTCACTACAGTATCATAGACCTTGATGTTTTCAATGGTACTGTAGTCTATATCCAGATTTCATTCCTTTTTTTTAATGGCTAAATAACATTCCATTTTATGTGTACACTACATCTTGTTTGTCCTTTCCACTTTGGCTGGTTCTACCTTTTGGATATTGTTATGCTGCTGTGAACATTGATCTACAGGATCTTTTTTTTTTTTTTTTTTTTGCAACTGAGGATTGAACCCAGGGGCACTTAACCACTGAGCCACATCCCTAGCCCCTTTTATTTTTTATTTTGAGATAGAGCCTCACTAAGTTGCCGAGGCTTGCTTTGAACTTGTTATTCTCCTGCTTTGGCCTCCTGAGCTTCTGGATTACAGGTGTGCACCACTGTGTCCAGCTATAAGGATCTTTAAAAGTACTTTCTTTGAATTCATTGGGTGTATGCCTAGATAAAGAATTGCCAGGTCATATACAGGGACAGTTGAACTTTGTAAGGAACCATTACTGTTCTCCACAGCAGCTATACCATTTTACACTCCCACTAGAAATGCACGAAGACTCTGATTTCTCCATATCCCTATCAACACCTATTTCCCATTTTTTTCTTATTATTATTGGTATCCTAGTAGGTGTGAAGTGGTATCTCATTTTGGTTTTACCTTATTATTTTTTGTAGCATTTAACACTATATGAAGTAGTCATGTTCATTTTTCTTTGTTTCTTAGTCCAGAAGTCTACAAAAGCAGGGTCATTTCTGGGTTTGCAGCCTCTAGAGTTGTCCTTGTCACAAACATCATTTATTCTATTGAGTAAATGACGATATAGATGATGTGTGCAGAACCCCATGGCTGTCTTCGCTAATTTACTTGTCCTATGATTAGTGCCTAAATAAGAGCACATGAATTAGGTAACAAGTCCATTACTTGTATCAGGCATCCAGGAAATCCTTCTGGTAGCCTTGAGCAAATGGACACCGTTATCTTAGGACTTCTAAAAGCGAAGACTAAACACAATTTAAATAAAACTATGTGTTATAAAAGATGTGCATGATCCTCAAATTAAATTCAGTAATTAGAATTAAAATTCAAGGTGAATCAATTAACATATATATATTTTTTGTACTTGAATTGAACTCAGGGGCACTTAACCACTGAGCCACATCTCCAGCCCTTTTTTTTTTTTTTTTAATTTATTTAGACACAGGTTCTCACTGAGTTGCTTAGGGCCTTGATAAGTTGCTGAGTCTGGTTTTGAACTTGCCATCCTCCTTCTTCATCTTCCCAAGCTGCTGGAATTACAAGCATGCACCACTGCACCTGGCTAATAAATAATTTTCATAAAACCTGCATGGAGAATCATATACTGCTTCCTTTTTAAGATACCTCAAACTAAGGTTGCACTGTGACATGTGTAAATAGGACTAATACTATCTTACTGGAGCACTGGGAGGAGCTTTGTCACTGAAACCCAAGTCTTAAATCGCTAACCACCAAGTCAAGTTGGGTGGATAGATAGGAAAGTCACGGTGCTGCCCAATTTTTCATTTTACAGCTGTGGGGAAAACAAAATTTCATCCCATAAACCAAAGTGTGAAGATTACTGAGTCACTCAGAACAATATGAGATCTTAACACATGGCTTCTGTGCATTTTATAAACACACAATTTCACAACTGAAAGCTCTCAATGATTCCATCCCTATTGCTAAAGATCAGAGTCACTGGATGAAGGGATCCAGGAAAAGGTCTAGGGAACGGCAGCAAACAGCCAGGACCCTGGTTAGCAGAGCACCATAGTGAGTTGCAAAGTACACAGCAGCTTATCATCCCCTGTCCCTCCTCGCTCCCCTCCCAGCCCATATGATCTGTTTGCTAATAATGTCTCAAACACAAACCAGGCTTATTGGGTGGTTCACGGTTGTTCCTGGGTCACTCTCTGAGTTACTGAACCAAGTTGCATGACGACAGAATTTTGAACTCATGAAGTTTGTGGCTCTGAAGAGCTCAGAGTATTTAACATATGCTCAAATGAAGTCCTGTAAAGGGAACGGAAGAAGAAATCAGATGAGCCCTTGAGCACATAGAGGACAGAAGACCCACCTGAGGACAGCTCTCTTGGCCAGAAGCAGGGTTCCCCTGGGTTCCAAACCGACATGGGTCCCTTGCCAGGTCCAGAGAGAGGTGAGAACAATTTTTGTAGTGGTATAATCTTTTCCCTAAATTGTGTAAGTTTCTTCAAGTTCCTCCAAAACCTGGAGGTTGACCCAGCCTTTGCTTTTTTTGTCTAGCCTTCCTCAGAAATTTTTGAAAATGCTTTCAGTCATTTTCTATAGAGAAATGTTGAAAGATACTAGTGAGTTTCTGGGCGTCCCCTGCAGGGCTTAGTACTGATCTGTCCACACTGCAGGGTTTGGTGACCAATGGACCTGGCATGTAAAAAGAAATAAAACTAAGTACTGTTAATTGTGTTTTTCTCTGAGTGTTTTAGTCACTTTTTCACTGCTGACTCCAAAAGACCTGACAAAAACAATTTGAGGGGTGGAAGCATTTATTTGGGAGCTTGCGGTCTCAGAGGTCTCTGTCCATAGACAATTGAGATCTATTGCTCTGGGCCTGAGAGGAGGCAAAATATCATGGCAGAAGTGGGTGGAGGAGGAAAAACAGCTCAGGACAAGGCACAAGGAAGCACAGAGAGAGAGAGACTCCCTCACCACAGCTACAATATGTACCCTAAAGGCACCTGCTCAGGGACCCACCTCCTCTAGCCATCCTGTACCTGCCTGTGTTACACAGTTAATTCATTCAAATGGTGCTACACTGATTAGGTGAAGGCACTCAAAACCCAATTATTGCACCTCTGTACTTTCCTGCACTATCTCACACACGAGATTTTGGGGGACACCTCACATCTAAACCATATCACTAATACTCACCTGACACATTTGGCTTTAGATGTTCAGACTTTACTTATTTTACCCAGAAGACCTTGATTAGAGAAACCGAACATCTATGCCTGAGAACTGGGTCGAGACTCAGGGAGAGAAACATGCTTTTGCTCCATGATCCTTTGTAGAAAAGAACTAATGAAATAATTTCTTACTTTTTTTTTTATCATTTGGCACATAGACTGTTACATTTTGTCTTATTCACTGTCAACTAGAAAAAGTAAAATCTCACCACAGATGCTAGCACCATGCCACTTAGATTTTTTAGCCACCAAAATTGGGAGCTAAATAAACCTCTTAAAA